CTTTCCCCATATTTGGGTCTGATTGGCAGTATGCTGTGGAAGTGAGTCAAGTACAATGACTATTGTTATGAAAAGCTTTTTCCGCTGTTGTGAGTCCAAATCACTGGGTCGAACCAAAAGTCAATTAATGGATTCAAGATAACAGAGGGAGTCTCTGATCTTGTTAACAATACTTATTTGCTTGGATGGCTACTGTACACTGAGCCTCAGTTTAATGGGAATTAAGGGTTAGGAGAAAATGGGACTTCTGTTCTACACCCAATAAAAGATTGGAAGCTGTGCACTAGTCTAAACGACACCTACTGTATGTATGTAAGACAGAGTTCATATACATACATTCACAGTGCATTTAATAGGAGTGCCACTGAATAGGTCTTGGTCTTTATTCCTGTACAGTGAAGAAAGCATGGCCCCTTAAAAAGGACTGTTATTGAATACTCTTCAAACTATTGTGGCTTCTCAGCTTACAGTTCAAGACAAAAAGTCTGCTATCGTCTGTCCCCCATACACATTATCTGTGAATCTCTTAGAATTGAGATGGGAATCATAAAGAACTGAATGATTCTGGTTCCAACTGCAATTGCTTAACAGTTTTGGGATTTTTTCAGCAGTAAGTTTCAGGAAAAGAAAAGAACAAAAATAGGTGGTATATTTTCATTAATTCCTTTATTTTTGTCTTTATCTTTAAATACACATTGGTGTATTAACAGCATGTCAATAATTACACTAATTGGGTCTCATTGGCCATAAATCATACATCAGTTCTTGGTTCATGGAGTCGGACATTATTTAATTGACGAGTGTTTGTGATTCGCTAAAAAGTGTCTTTTACTCAGAAACCAGACTTTGCTGGTCATGGAGTGTTTTATTGACTAATAAAAGCAGCTCATAAAAGTTTTTCTAAATTCCCTGAAAGCCCTGTATGTTTTTGTCTAAAAAGAACCATTAATAAGCATCATTAGCTCAGAAATCAGCTTCAGGTGTGTGTGATATATATCGTCTATGATAATATCATAGTTGTTGTTGTGCGATTTGACATTATTGAGTGCAAAAACCAAACAAAAGCACACAAAGAGCAGAGAGTGCACGCATACACTACATGATGTAGGTTAGACTACTGCACAAGCACATTTAGAGTTCTTTAGATAAGGGGGCAAAAATCCCCACTATACATCTTTCATATGTCTTTCATATTTATATTTTCTGATATAGTTAATATTACATGAAGAATTATGTTTTTCTCCAAATATCAGCATGACTGCAAATGTGATATTGATTTGATGAACAGTTCAATAAACAAGAAGTTAATATTAAGTGACATATTTTAGACACAAGTTCCTGTTTTGCCTAAAGTATATTTTCCATTTTCCCCCCAAATCATTTCAAATATCAGTATTCATTGTTTTTTTTAATAATCGAAACATTATGTATGGGTAACTGCAGATTAAATGCATTCATGTACTGCATTAAACAGTGTAAATGCATCTAAATACCACTTCAGATGCAGATTCTGTGCCATTGATTGGTAACAGCCCTATAGTGTCTTACTATTTGAATTTATTGATTAAATTTAAGAATTTGACACAAAAGATGATGTATACATTTAATAAGGTTAGAAAAATGGCCTTGTAAAGGTAAAAAAAAAATAATAAAAGGTAAAAAATCAATTTAAACTTGGTGGAAAAGTTCATTTCTGTTACTCCTGCAATCTAACCACCTCACAGAATATGACGAATATTAAAAGCTTTGGAAGTCAGCTGTCTACGGCAGTCCTAAACCTGTCAAAATAACATGCTCAGCAAAATATCGTCTAATTATCGACAAAATTCCAGAAAATGTCGAGATATCATTTTGTTATTATCGCACACCCCTAGTGGTCACATGCTGTATGTTTTGATTTCTTTCAAAGAATTAAGAGTCATTTGCTTTAAAATCAGACTTCACTGGTCGTGTTGTGCATATCATTCTGATCAGTAATACAGGAGACACTTTTGGACTATTTTGATGCAGCCTTGGATCTGCTGGAACCAAACTGTCATGCATATCATTCAGTTACTGTATTTTTTAATATAACTGGTTCTTGGTTCCCAACCCTACTTAATGTATGTAGCTAGAAAAGTGTTGTTTTTAGTCAGCTTCACTTTAATTTGTGCTTGGTGACTTGAGCGTTTTAACAGAAGTTTTAAGGTATGTCAGTACACACCGGCACCAACTCAAAAATGCTACAATATCCTGATTTAAAATATGCACTACGGTGGCTTTGAACTGAAGCATTATATCATAACAGTTGTGTATATGTCTTTAAAGGAAACCCAATGTCCTCTTCGTTGACTTGTTTTGCATCCTTCAGTGGAAGAATTTCCCCTTTTCCATTAACTTGGAGCATCAAAGTCTCTCCTGCAAATTATCCAGTGCTGCTGTAGAAAAGGCTTTTCTGTTTGTCTAAAAAAAAAAACTCTAAAGAAGAGAAGACAAGAATCAGTTGTTCTGAAAATAGACGGCCTGCTGAGTAAAGAAAAGGCCACAGAGGCACAGGACTTGAGCTGGAGCTGGAGGTGATAAAAGATCAGCTTTGGAGGAATGGACACACTTTTAAAGGCCCCTCCCCATGGCCCCACCTCCCTCTACAAGGCATGAAGCCAGGACAGGTCAAGAACAAGAGTCCCACTGTAAAGAGATCTTGGGATTGTCCAAAGTAGCTGATTCCTGTCGAGTGAATGAGCTTTGGGCTGCATTTCCAATGTCCTAACCCCTTATCGCTAACCGTGAAAGAGCATAGCAAATATCAGTGGCTTGTCCGCTAGAATGATATCCACTTCAGTCTCTTGTGGCTTGTGATGTTAAATAAGATATATGTCTGGAAGTGTCTGAAAGAAAACCTGGAGAAAAGGAGCAGGAAACAATGTGAACCGCGTGTCAGTGCCAGCACACGTCAACAGAATCTCGCTCACCCACCGTGACACTCAATGTAGTACATGATACCATCACTGAACAGTGTTTTGCTACGGTATTAGACATTTACAGACTTCCAGAACCCCTACAAGACTTCAAACATTCCTTATCCTGGTGCAAAACCGCAGGTTGAGTGAACAGCCCTGGGGTATTGTGGAAAAATTCTCTTGTATTGTAAATGAAGCAGATATAGTAATACACTAACATGAACTGAAAGCCTCAAGATAAAAATCTCCCAATTGTGGCTTTATATCTCGCATTGTGCCTTTACTTCTTGAAATTTGACTTTGAATCTCGCCATTTTTACTGTATATCTCACATTGTAACTTTTTCTTTTTTCAAATTTTATCCCACAATTATCTTTTTTACTCCGAGGCTGCAGGTTAGAATACTTTGGCACTTGATTGTATGGCTTGTTTAGTTGAGCAAAAGTGATATGATTTGATACGCTTTTTGTTATGCACTTGAGCAACAAAGGCAATTGAAACTTTTTTTCTTCTCTTTTTGCCTACACACGCATGCATACTATTGAAGACCTTTTAAAGCTGTGTATTTTAGGCTTAAAGGCTCCTTGTTTTGTGCAATGCATGTTAGAAATGGCAATCTTTTGACCAAGAGCTGAGTGTTTTGTGCAGGTTAGGGCAAGTGGTGTGAGTGCTTGAGGAAGATGAAGGTCAGAAGGTTATATTCAAGCTTGCACTATGGCTCAAGACACCATAACGACTGCAACACACCCAAGTATTTCTGGAATGTGTCCTGCTATAAGACCAACCCTGCAACAATCGGTCATTTTAACCCTTTTATCCCATAACAGGTAAGATTAGTTACACCTATAGGTAGCTTTAAGGAGTCACAATAAGCAATACATGATAAAAGAGTTACCTAAACACATGTACATGCGCTTGAACTTGCTTTGAGTGGCATAGTACATGTAGTGTAATTTAACTGAAGTGAGAAGGAATGTGTATCCTCAAGACATGCTTGCCATGACTCTGGCCTATGTTTGATAGACAGCTTAAAGCGTTAGTTCACCCAAAAAGGAAAATTAGCCTGTGTTTTACTCACCCTCAAAGCATCCTAGGTGTATGTGACTTTTTTCTTTCAGACGAATCCAATCGGAGTTATATTAAAAATTGTCCTGGCCCCTTCAAGCCTTTCATTGGGGGTAAGCGGGTGTTGGTTGTCAACAGTTCAGAAGACGTGAAATAAAGTGCGCACATCCATAATAAAACGTCCCTCACACGGCTCCGGGGGGTGAATAAAGGGCTCCTGTTGCGAATCCATGCGTTTTTGTAAAATAAATATCCATATTTCAAACGTAATAAACACTTTCTCTCACTTCCAGTATTCTGTCATATATGGAAGGCGTTCCGGCGGATGACGTAGCACGTCGGCGTTGCGTGATTAGTGACGAGCGCGGAGAGAGAACAAAGCAAAACGCCAGTCATGAATTAGAAGCACAAAACGAGGATTTGTAAAGAAAAATGTCGGAGGATTTCGATATAAGCCAAGAGGAGACTGGTTTTCCTTTGCTAAAGTAAGGAGACTTTGCTTCCTTTGCTCCTGCATTTCTCAGAGGCGCGCGCAACGCTTACGTCCTACGTCATCCGTCTGCATGTCTTCCGCGTACCACAGTCAGCGGAAGTGAGAAAAAAATGTTTATTACATTTGAAATATGGATATTTATCTTACAAAAACGCATGGATTCGTCACAGGAGGCATTTATTCACCCCCTGGAGCCGTGTGAGGGACGTTTTATTATGGATACGTGTAATTTATTTCACTTCTTCTGAACTGTTGACAACCGAACATCCGCTTACCCCCGTTGTAAGGCTTGGAGGGGCCAGGACAATTTTTAATATAACTCCGATTGGATTCGTCTGAAAGAAGAAAGCCGCATACACCTAGGATGCTTCCAGGGTGAGTAAAACACAGGCTAATTTTTATTTTTGGGTGAACTAACCCTTTAATAACACCTGAAGGAATATTTTAATGTGTGCCAAGGCATGCCCAGAATAGCGTCTTTTAGCAGACAGGTTTAACATTACATTTAAAGAATTACGACTGAGAGCAGAAGGAAGTGCAGTACTGACGAAGTATCTGTTCACACACAGATGTTGCTTTTGGACGCACCATCTTTGCCTTTATCCCTGCGGTCGCGGCGGCGGCACTAGGACCACGCGGGGAGGCGCAACATCGCGCCTCGGTTATTGGGCTTGCACGACCTCAGTTTTGCCTTTGCACTACACCATTCAACGGAGGGCAAGTATGCTGTCTGATGTGATGAAATAAGTGCCGTTGAAAATAATCAGTATTTGAAGAAAGACTAGGCGTTAAAAGGATTGTGTATGTTTTTGCCGGACCTGTCACGCACTCCAGCACAAACCTTCACAGTGGAGATGGGAGTAAACCTGGAGACTGGGTTACCCTGTGAACTTCCAGGAGAAGAACCTGTGATTTGGATTTAAACGCGCCTTGGTCATTATTAACGCAGCTTGAAGTTAAGTATCATCCGAAAACGAATTTCTTTTCAACTGTATTATTTCTTCGTCACAGAGAGTGTGCGTAAAGCTGTGGCGCACTGCTGCTCTTTTTGTACGTATTATTAAACTCGTTTTAATTGCGATGCCTCCAAATAAAACTACAATTAATTTAAAGCAGTTTTGCCATAAAATGCTCATTTTGTGTAGATTGGAATGCCTAGCTGTCTTTTGAGCAAGTGTATTGCAGTTGTTGGTTTGTACAGGCGCAATTGGAAAGTGAGGTAGGTAAACAGAGTTTGTTTTCCTTGAGTTTACCAACAACGCAAGGCGTGGATGAGGTTGGTTGGACATTCATTCAAGATGTGAAAGACAACAAAAAAGACGAGATTGGGGGTTTTAGCACAAAGGGATGCTGTGGGAAACAGGTTGTGTCCAGGGAATTCCCCAGGTGTCACACATGGGTGTCCATGATGAATGGAGCAGATGATAATGTCCCTTTATACTAGGACTCGTCAAGTAATTTGTATTACGCCTATGTCTATAGACTATTACGTGCGTCGTGCATTGATACTTTTTTTTCCCAGACTGTAACTTAAATTTGGCAATCATAAAATGAAAAATGGTTATAATAAATGACAGCAGTTAGTAAACAAACTTCATTTTTACAGGCCAATGGGTGTGTAAGCGTGATATCCAAAACCACTGCTATTATTAAACAGATTCGAGTCAGCTAAATGTAAAATTCATTTATTTTTAAAGGCGTAAGGATATGTCTGACACAGTTTTAGAGGATTTTAATCTTTAATCAAACTGTTTCAATCTTAAGGCTACTTCAGACACTATGGGTCATTTCCTTTAGATGGTTGTCTGATGTTTTTATTGAGCACTCTGACCAAAACGCACTGCACCTATCTATAGATTACTAATGATGTCACTAAAACTCTTAAAAATTAATGTTCCAAAAGTGCGTTTTCGCAGCGATGCCATAGAACCATTTTGGGTTCTTGAAAGAATCTTTCAGTAAAGTTCTTAAAATATTTTTTTTTCATAAGGCTTAAGTATTCTATACAACTTTTGCCTACATTTTTACCTCAACGTAAATGTATTTTCAATGCTAGTTTTTGAAAGTTAAAACCAGCCTGCAAACTTGTGTTGACAGATTTCACTTCGAATTTTAGCTTCAGGCTGTGATTCTATCCATTCGGAGGATATCTGAACATGTTTGATATTTTGAGTAAATTTTAGAACTTTTAGATGCTTTTATCCAAAATCACAAGCTGTAAAGTAGGTACTACATTTAGTTAACTTACTTCAGAACCATTGAAAAGTACTTTCTATATGGTATGAATGAAATTTGGACGTACTACATCCGTCATGTTGTGACTGTCACATGACCTACCAGCATTAGTTGCGTTGCTTCACCGTTATTCACAACTCCTCTCGTGTGGCTTCAAGTGTTCACTGAATTCACACTCCAGAGACTCTGTAGAAGTGCTGTTTTTCTAATACTACTCTTAGCAAACTGTTTATCACATACTATATAGTATGGAAGTATTGGGACACAGTGAATGATTTGTCGTGTCATGTGTCTAGAAAATGTAAATTTGTTGTGTTCAGAAAAACTTGTAGCGTGTTTTTCTCTAGTGCTTTTCTAACCATTTGCAAAGACAAACATCTATTATGCCTAGTGTTTGAAAATTGTGTCATGAAGTGTATTCCAGCCTTTAGTGTGCAAAATGTTAATAATGTGAAGGACCTTTTCCCACTATATATAGAACCTTTTGTTAAAGGTTCTGCATGGAACCATAAAAGAACCTATTTTTAAGACTGAAGGCTCAGCATTAAATTTCTTCAGCCTTATATCTGCAAAATGGAGGATCTTGAGTTTTATTTCATGCTTGCATATATTTTTGTATTTGCATTTAGGTTGCATAAGCCATGGTGCCTAATCGGAGATTGGGTCTGGCCCATCCTTGCTGTATTGGCCTGCTGTTCCTACTCCTCCTGCCCAGCTCGGTTTCAGTGAGAGAACCTCGCCATCAGTCCCACATCCACCTCCCCTCGCTGATACCTCACGCCACCCTGCCACTGTCCCGCTCCCGCTTCAGCGCCAAAGCTCAGCTGGACCTCACTACCCACTGCAACGAGAGCTGCTTCCACAAAGGAGAAGACACCGATAAAGAGCACCTAGCTTTCGAAACTCTTTATGCAGACGGCTCGCGAACTTTAACCACTGTTGACCTGGAAGAAAACGACACTGAACTTCCTGTCAGGCGGCCCAAAGTAACCACTCCCAGACGCAAGCGGCTAAAGCGCCAGATTTACGGTTCAGACGGGCGCTTTAACATCCGCGGTGACCACTTCCTTCTGGACTACCCGTTCTCCACAGCCGTCCGCATCTCCACCGGCTGCACTGGAGTTCTGGTGTCCCAGCAGCACGTCCTGACCGCAGCCCACTGCGTGCATGATGGGAAGGATTACGTCAAGGGAGCGAGGAAGCTCAGGGTGGGCTTTTTAATCCCTCCGTCTGTTAACGGTACAAGACCGGGTCAGGCTCCCGTGAAGAAACCCTTGGTGCGCTGGGTGAGAGTTAAACGCACACGGGTTCCTAAAGGCTGGATTCAAGGCCCTCAAGACGTCAGCATGGATTTTGACTACGCACTTCTAGAGTTGCGCTGGCCTCACCGGCGTCCCTTCATGCGGCTGGCTGTGGCACCCTCCTCAGACAGTTTGGCTGGTAAACGCATCCACTTCTCTGGATTTGACAGTGACCGGCCTGGGGAACTGGTGTACCGCTTTTGTCCTGTGGAGGACGAGTCCAACGATTTGATCTACCAGCACTGTGACGCCCGCCCTGGAGCGAGCGGCTCTGGTGTTTACGGACGCGTGTGGGACGATACATTAGAGCGCTGGGAGCGCAAGGTCATTGGGATCTTCTCGGGCCACCAGTGGCTGGAAATCAACGGCGAGAATCGCGATTACAACGTGGCTGTTCGCTTCACTCCGCTGAAGTTTGCTCAGATCTGTTACTGGGTTCATGGAAATGAGGTGGACTGCAGTCAGGACTGAAAATATGACGCAGAGAAATGGGACAATATCAAATCATTGGCGAAAATATGATGTGCCTGATGCTGGAAACTGCACTTTACAGTCCTTTTACGGGTGTGGCTACTGAATCTGGGAATAAAGAAGGTCCATGGTTGGAGGATAGCTACCCGCACAGGCTTCGATCACTCACATGGGTTGAGCTGGAACTTTGTTTAACCACTACCTTTAGTTTTTGCTCACTATACTGACAATATTACGCATAGATTTAGACTTTGATTCCTACAACCCAGTAGATTTATCTTGTCAAGTCTTTGCCAGTGTTAAGTAGACATCTGATCTCAGTTATATGGTTCTCGCCACAGCCTTGCTTTGTTCACATTACACGTTATAAATGCTTCAAACTGTTCTTTGCACTTTTAGAAAGTAGATTTGGGGTGGAGGCCGGTTTTCTTCTCACATCACTTGGGTTTTGGTTAATGCTAGATTAACATACACAGTTTATTTGGTGACTAAAAGTAGATGCAAAACGGCTATGCTTCCTTCTTTTCCATCCTTGCATTTCCATTTGGTCTGCTAAGCAATCTATTTTCTGATTTATTATCACAGTAACAAAATCGATGACTGTGAGATGTTGTATGGGTGTTAAATTGAGAAAGTTAGTAAAACTGAATTTTAATTTAATTAATGGATTACAAATCTTCAGTTTGTTTGTTAACGCAATCATCTGGCGCTATGAATATAGTTCACTCTTCTACAGTTAAATAAATACTCATTTCCAAGACAGATGAAGACCTCATATTGGTAACATTACAGTATCTTTTGAGAAATCATTTCTATTATTTTATGTTGGATTAATATAAAGACTGGACACAAACTACGGGAAAGGTTGTGGGGTAAATGTTGATTATAATTCTATTTTTAAAAAGCTTTTATTTTAATAAACTTAAATATGTCTGTTGTTTTTGCTGTTCTTTTCATTACAATTAAAAGTTTAGAGGTAATTTTGTAATGAGGACTTAAAAAAATTATTTTCTATGGAAGCTGTTGGCAACACTAGATACGATTCTGTGTTGTGTTTCAAGTATTATTTGAGCGAGAGAGCGATTACAATTTTGGGGACTGTAACACTGGTACCCTCTGGTGGTACGTGCAAATTCAAAAAGAAAAGAAAAACATTAAAAAGATCCTGCTAGTCATTACAGGTACAGTAACACTTTTGGCTGGTATTATTTGTTTATAATATACTAGTTCAGTATTGCAGTAGCTACTGATTTGTGGTTTGTAAATTCATAATCTCAAAATTACTAGAGTACGCTGGGAAAAGGTCAGAGATTGTAGTTGAGCACAGGAAGGTGGAAGGTTTGGAAATGAATCTGTACTGCCCTCCACTGGTTGACATGGGTACATCTTTCATCGAGTCTTTCAAAATATGGCTGAGCAGTAGTCCTTACGGTTCAGTCAGTAGCGATTATACTGGCGTGATTACAATATTCAGTAGCATTACAGTAGCTCAGTGTTTTAATATAGGACATTTCCAGTAATTATTTTAAAGGAAAATAAATCGCCCAGCATACCACACTTTGTTCATTGATCACTGACAACTGTTCACTGAAATCCCTTGTTTTTTTTACAGAAATGTTAAATACTAGTTTATCAGAATGTTCTTTATTTTTGGCTTGATTTGTGGTTTGTAAATTCATAATCTCAAAATTACTAGAGTACGCTGGGAAAAGGTCAGAGATTGTAGTTGAGCACAGGAAGGTGGAAGGTTTGGAAATGAATCTGTACTGCCCTCCACTGGTTGACATGGGTACATCTTTCATCGAGTCTTTCAAAATATGGCTGAGCAGTAGTCCTTACGGTTCAGTCAGTAGCGATTATACTGGCGTGATTACAATATTCAGTAGCATTACAGTAGCTCAGTGTTTTAATATAGGACATTTCCAGTAATTATTTTAAAGGAAAATAAATCGCCCAGCATACCACACTTTGTTCATTGATCACTGACAACTGTTCACTGAAATCCCTTGTTTTTTTTTACAGAAATGTTAAATACTAGTTTATCAGAATGTTCTTTATTTTTTATTTTTGGCTGCTTCTGATCAGTAATAGATTAGTTTTCAGGTTGAATACTACTACATTAATCCTCTACATACTAGCATAAAGCGAATACAGGTACAGTGGTACATTACTTGTCATTCATCAGTGTATAGACTAGTGTATAGTGTATATTAACATTCACCTGCCCATTTAAGTTTAGTTTTGTCTGTATTTGGCATTGATTCTTTCGAGTGCCAGCAAGAGTAAGATGTTGAACAAAGAGAAGAGACCTGTAATAAACGGATCTGTTCAGGAACTGATTCAATGAACAGTTTGTTTAAAAGGGACTGCATTTTTATTAACTTTCTAATGTAGCTGACATGCAGCAGTTTGATGGAGTTGTCTTGACATCATAATTATATTTGAACCAAATGCATTTATTTGCAATCCAAGAAGTTTACTATAATATAAACAGCAATTTTTATTAGCTTGTAGTCTACTGAGGGCATTGGGCAGTTTTACAATACTATATTTCCACAGTTGCATCCCAACACAGCCACCCATCAAATCCATAGGGAGGATGAGAAAGCAATCGGAGTCTCTTTGTTTGGATCCATTTGAAACTTTATGAATTTTGCAAACCATCACATATTTCAGTGCATAAACCATGCTGAACACTGATAAAACAGCAAAAAAAAAAAGCAGAATATCCACACACAAATGTAAACAAGTATCTATAAACCAATATAAAAGATGAATGCGTATTCTAAAATTAAGAGCAAAATTAGATTCACCTTGGGGCAGGGCAAAAATAGAAAGGCCCCTTGCACAGAGGATTTACCAAACACGAAGAAACAAACCAGTTGTAACAGCAGTTTTGTTTAGTGCTTTTTTTTTATTTTTTATTAGAGATAAGGAGACGATACAAAACATCCACTGACCAATATCCATCAAAGCTCTGTACACAGACTGCCCAAATATATCGCTCCATCTAAACAATACGTGTCCATCAGTCCACTCAAGCCAATTCATCAACAGACCGCTCACCCACTAGGACCCAGATTTTACAGGTAGAAGGAATGTGTACAATTTCTTGACACCAGTGCCATAGTTTTGAATTACATTTGGAAATATTTAAATCATATGGAATTATAAAAACGACTTGTGAGCTCAAAATAAAATAAAAAAATAGGGAAGGGGAGAATAATTGGTGTTCCCAGAATGGTCCGATAACGTTGGAGTAAATTTTGTACTACACCTAGTCTTCAACAACACACACACACACTTAGAAAAACTTAACTAGACGTTTGGCGGCGGTGGCGCAAAAAGAAAAAAAAAAACCTTTAATCTTAAGAACTAACAGTATGTTGTACAGCTGATTTGTAACGGCTGCGGTCTCACTCTTTCCTTTCAACAATCTAATGGAACCCAGAAAGAACGAAAACCTGCCAGTACACATTTACACAGTTATATTACTTTGTTTTTATAATCATCATCCTTGGTTTTTGTCTTTTAAGATCTTTTTTTTTTTCTCTTACGTTTTTGTTCTCGATCATTGTATGTGTGAATTGGAATGACAGCCTACATCTTTCGTCATGTGTGTTTGGAGTTTGGAAACTGTCACTTTCACCCAACCCTCCCCACCCGCATTAACCCACCACGTGGCCCACAAACAGTCGTGCAGGCCCATCTGCCCCACCCATGTCGGAATGAACAGCTAACCCCTGAAATGTGTCAGCCTCAATCGCTCAGAGGCTTGCCCTCGAGAGTCACCACTGACGCTCCCCCGAGCTTCTCAGCAAGGGTCTTTCGGTCCTTGATATCTTCTAAACCGTTCACTTGCCACTCATGCTTGATACCTGTGAAACAAGACACAACAAACGGTTACTCAGATTTCACAATTACATATTCACAATTTATTATACAAATAAAATGCATGCATATTTAAATTTTCAAATCAGCTCATATTTATAAGCTTACTTTAGAATCATTTAGCTGGTATTATAGTTCCCATTTTAAATGTATTTCCCATTTTAAATTTTAGTTTAGAAATTGTTGTGCATTTGTTGTTTTTAATAGATTATTTAAAAAGGTGTCTATTTTTTTCAGTTGTAGATATTTTAAATTAATACATTTCAGTTAACATTTATTTCAAGTAACATGTTTTAAGGTTTTAGTTTAGTTAGTCATTTATATACAGTTAAGTAGCAGGGGTTTTCAAACCTGTCCTGCACATTTTGCATGTCTCCTAGTGCTGGGCGGTATGGCCAAAAATTTATATCACGATATTTTTCAAAATTATACCGGTTTCACGGTACATGACGGTATTTTTTTTTTCATGCATGACCGGGTGTTAACCATATTTTCTACTGATTGAGAGAGGAAATACTGCAGTATATTGACTTAGAATGCCCTATTTTACTGTCATGATGAGTGAATATTGTCAAAAAATACCACACTAAATAGTGACTAAACACGACCCCTTTTAATACATGTTAACCAGGAGTCACTCTCATTTATAATCGCGGCATCGTCTGATAAAATCAACATGCATCTACACTATAGAGCGGCTATGCGGCTGTTTTGGCTATATTACTTTTTGTCTCATGCAGCGCACTGCCTGCGTCTGAGTAACAAACTAAAAAAAACAAACAAAAAAGTGCATGTGATATTAACAGACGAACTACGCTCATATTTATAATTCCAAACAATCAGTAAGCAACAGGTGCTAGGAAACGCTGTTTTGTACTCATTTATTGACGAGTCGGCTGTGGTGTGGCCAACTGAATGCGCCGCTTCTCTGCACAGAACAGACGCAGAGAGAGGTGACACTTCTCCGGGAAAGTCAGACCTCGCGTTCGCGGGACAGCACTGGCAAAATCTTCCAACTGAACCATAGCTAAGGTTTATCCAAAAAAGTCGCTAGGTTTGTCAGTATGAATATTCTATGGAAAAAAGCCGCTAAAAGGGTCTGAAAGTTGCTAAATCTAGTGCTAACGTCACGCTCGTGTGTGTGTGAGACGCGGGAGCTGATGGCAGGGGATATTTGTGGCAGTCAATTACAGGAGGCCTTTGTTCACCCCCCCGGAGCCATGTGAGACACTTTTTATTATGAATGGATGCGCTTTATTTAACTTCTTTTGTACTGATGCACTGCAACACCCGCTGACTGCTATTGAACAGCTTGGAAGATCAAAGACAATTTTTAATATAACTCCGATTGGATTCATCTGAAAGAAGGAAGTCATATACACCTAGGATGACTTGAGGGCGAGTAATTCATGGGCTAATTTAAATTTTTGGGTCAACTAACCCTTTAAGTTAATTTTATATCAAACTTAAATTATACATGCAATATTATTTTTATATATTTTTTAGCATTACCTGTGAACTTCTTCTTGATGGCATCCTTGGAGCTGGCATAGATCATCTTGCTTTTGAGTGGGGCATTTTCTGGGGCCCTGTGCAATACAACAGGAGATCAGATCATCTGTTCCATGCAAGCATTTGACAAGTCTATATCAGGAGCCCCAGAACTGTTCCTGGAGATCTACCTTCCAGCAAAGTTCAGCTCCAACCCTGATCAAACAGCTAATGAAGACCTTCAGGAACACTTGTTCGTTACGACAGGTGTATCAGAACAGGGTTGGAACTAACAGGGTTCCCACTCTATCATGAACACCAGATTCAAAGACTTTTTAAAGCACCATTTATTTTATATCAAGCACCTATCAAATTCACACCCCAGCATATGTAGAGTCATGAAAGACATTTTACAGTACTTAACATTTCTCTTACACTTAACATTTATATAAAAAATTTCAGAGTAATGAGGTTTTGAACGTGTAGGTTTCATAAATTTAGACCATTTTGGTCTAAATAGTGTTCAAATGAATTTTGAATTTCTCATATTGATAAAAATATATATTCTTGCATCAAACTGGTTTTTGCTGTAATTCTTGTAAAAGATTTAAATTTGAAAATTTCTCAATTTTTAAATTAATAAAAAGTGGTTAAACAGGGCTCTACGCTTACTTTTCTTTTTAGGAGCACTTGTCACTTGTTTTAAAAAATATTTAGGAGCAGAGTCAAATTTCAGGAGCACCTTCT